CGTCACCAGGTGACCCAGACCAAAGGAGGGTCGGCGAAACCTGAGGCTGCTGGGGGTGCGGCCCCAGGTTAAGCTGGTGAGCAGCGTAGCGAACGGCAAACGGCCACAGAAAATTGGGTGCGCCGGTATGGATCATGGAGGTGCGAGCCACCTCCATGACCAAACTAATGCGTCGCTCAGCGACCCCATTCTGCTGCGGGGAGTCCGGCAAGGTGAACGTCTGGGTGATGCCCTCCGCACGAATGAAACGACCAAGGACACTAGAGGCAAACTCGCCACCACGGTCGGAGTGGAGGCGCAAGACAGGGAGACCGCGACGGACACGCGCAGCGACAAGCCACGGGATAAGAACGTCAGGCACGTCGGCCTTCCGCTCGAGGGGGAACACAGTGGTGTAGCGCGTGTAGTCGTCGACAAGCAATAGGAAGTAGCGCTCTCGACGCGGCCCATGGACGGAGGCGGGGCCCCAGACATCCATGTGCAGAGTCTGTAGCGGTGCGGCGGTAGGGGGAAACGAGGAGGAGTGAGGAGCACGGCGAAGCCGGCCCTCGACACAAGGCGTGCAAGGTGGGGCAAGGGAGGAGGGAAACTCAGAGAACGACCCAAGGAGGCCTAGGACAAGACCGTGCTGTGACATGTGACGCAGACGCGGGAGTGCAGGGTGACCTAGACGGTGGTGCCACAGGAGAGTCGGGTGGGTAAGTGACCGACAGGAGCAGGCAGCAGCAACCTGGGTAGACGCAGCCACCTGAGGGGGGGTCCCAGCCGGAGGGGTCACAGTGTCCAGTGTGAACAGTCCGCACACCGGGTCCCGGGGGAACGTGGTAAGGGGGGCACCAGAGGCGGCCTCAGTACAGACAGCGTACCGCTCGTGACCAGGGAACGTAGTGGTGACGCCAAGGTCCTGGAGGCAGCCGACACCAACTAGGTTCCTGAAGAACGAGGGGATGTGCAGGCCTGTGAGAGAGCCTGAAGGAACTGCCGGACAGGGGAGGGTGGTGGAACTGCGGGCAACTACAGGGCTAGAGGAGGGGTCAGCCAGGGAGACGGCGGCAGGGATAGGAAGCGGTGTCAACGTTGTGGAGTCACGGAAGAAGCACCGGAAAGCGCCAGAGTCGAGGGTGAAGGAGAGCGCGGCAGTGGCGGCCGAAGGCAAAGTAGCGACGGAAGCACCAAGGCTAAACAAAGCAGGGGATCCTACGCCTGACGCAGCAGGGGAGTCTAACGAAGGCACACCTACACTAGGCAACAAGGGGTAATAAGACGGAAGCACACTAGAGTCATCAGCATACATTACATGCAGAGCAGCAACAATTTTATCCATGCCCAGATAAAAAATATGAACCCTACGACTAAGCAAGCTGTGCCAGTCTGGGAGCTCGGGCGACGGGCCGAAAAGCTGACGAAACAGGTCGTCCAAGCGATGGAAACAGCAGACGGAGCCACAGTGAGGACCGGTCTGAAGCAGGTACTGACAGCGCGCAGCACCCAAACCACCACTCCGCAACCCACCACGCGCACCACCACTACGTCCAGCGCTGCCACCAGCGCCGGGCCACCCAGGCGGAAGACGAGTCGTCCGCCTCTGCTGCTGCTGCTGCGACTGCTGCGGATGCGGCGACGGCTGCAGCTGCGGCGGCTGCGGCTGCTGTGGCTGGCGCGGGTCCGGCTGCAACACCGGCGACTGCCGAGACGGCTGCTCGGCTGCACCTGTCAGGGTCCCCGCGTCAACACCACCACTAGGTGACCCAACTCCAGCACCACCTACACCCGCACCCCCACCCCCGTCACCACGTCCAGCCTTGGGGCGGCGACCCTTCCCCGGACGAACCTGTGCGGCAGCGGCAGTCTCAGCCATAGCAGCAGAACCGTCAGAGAAGGTGCACTGAGCGGGGGCACAACCCTGAAAGATAGGGACTCGCACAGTACCGCTGGTCTGAGCGATAGAGCGGTGGCGGGCCTCTATAGCGGACAGGGTGTCAACAAAGTCAGTGAGGGTAAGGTCTGCGGGGTGGACGCTAAGAAAGCGGTTACGGGCAGTGGCAAGACGATCAGGGAGGCGGGTGGCTAGCAGGTAGGGAGTAGAGGTGAGGGGCGGCTGGTGGGCTAGAAGCTGTGTGGGGGTGCAGGCAGCATGCCAGGTCTCGTCTATAGTGCGCAGGTGAGCGGCCAGGTCGGCAACAGTGGGGAACGACGCAAGGTCAGGAAAGAGCATGGGGAGGATCAGACGACCGACTGAGGCAGCAGGCGGGGTGGAATAGTGCTAGACAACAGCATCTAGGAAAGCCTGGGCAGTGGTGATAGACCTGAAGCGAGGTCGCTCGGACAGGGGGAGGGCAATGCTAATAGCAAGCTGTGCAACAGCGTCACGGGACAGCCAGACAGAGCGAGCAAGGGCAGCGGCTGCAGCGGACTCATGCTCAGCGGACGAGGGGTCAGGAGACAGTGCAGCGGGGGGGTCAGGGCAAGGGAGGGTACCATCAAGATGGACAGACAGCGAGTGGCTATCGTGCCGCTGACCAGTGAGATGGCGACGGAGGTCAGCAAGCCACGCATCAAACTCAATCGGCTGGCCCTCAGCGTCAAAGCAAAGCACCGCCGCCATGAGTGACAATAGAGGGCAGTGTAGAGTAGGACAATGCGGTGCAGTGCGGTGCAGTGTGATGCAGTGCGGTACAGTGCGGTACAAAGCGGTACAGTGCGGTGCACAGCGATGCAGTACAGTAATGGGGGGGGTTCGGAGGGCTTTAGCTGATCGGGAAGAACGAACCAAACCCGAGGCAGCGGCGGGCCGGCGACGGCGCGAATGCAGGGGCCGGCCGGCCGGCGGCGAGTAGACACGGCCGCGATGGCGGCCAGAGACAGCCGCAGATGTCGGCCAGGGGCAGCCGCGATGTCGGCCAAGGACAGCCGCGACGGCGGCCAGGGACAGCCGCGATGGCGGCGAGGGGCGGCCGCGACGGCAGGAGCGACCGTGAGGCGGCTGGAGACGGCAGCGGCGGCGGCTAGGGGCGGCCGCGACGGCGAGAGGCGGCCGGGACGACTAGGGGCGGCCGAGGGACGGCGGGAAGCGGCCGCGACGGCGGCTAGAAGCAGCCGCGACGGCGGCTAGAAGCAGCCGCGACGGCGGCTAGAAGCAGCCGCGACGGCGGCTAGAAGTAGCCACGACGGCTAGGGGCGGGCGCGAAACGGCCAGGGCGCCGGCTAGGAGGGGCTCGACGGCCAGGGGGCCGACTAGAGACGGGCGTGAACGGCCAGGGGGCCGGCTAGGGACGGGCGCGAACGGCCAGAGGGGCAGCTAGGGGCGGGCGCGAACGGCCAGGGGGCTGGCTAGGAGCGATCGCGACGAGCAGGGGGCCGGCTAGGAGCGGGCGCGACGGCCAGGGGGCCAGCTAGAGACCGGCGCGACGGCCAGGGCGCCGGCTAAGGGCGAGCGCGACAACTAGGGGGCCAATTAGGGGCGGGCGCGAACAATCAGGGGTCGGCTAGGGACGGGCACGACGGTCAGGGGGGCGGCTAGGAGCGATCGCGACGGTCAGGGGGCCGGCTAGGAGCGGGCGCGATGGCCAGGGGGGCAGCTAGAGACGGGCGCGACGGCCAGGGGGCCGGCTAGGGACGAGCGCGACAGCCAGGGGACCAGCTAGGGGCGGGTGCGAACGGTCAGGGGTCGGCTAGGGACGGGCGCGACGGTCAGGGGGGCGGCTAGGAGCAATCGCGACGGTCAGGGGGCCGGCTAGGAGCGGGCGCGACGGCCAGGGGGCCAGCTAGAGACGGGCGCGACGGCCAGGGGGCCGGCTACGGACAGGCGCGAACGACCAGGGGGGCGGCTAGGGACGGGCGCGAACGGCCAGGGGGTCAGCTAGGGACGGGCGCGAACGGCCAGGGGGCCGGCTAGGGACGAGCGCGACGGCCAGGGGGCCGGCTAGGAACGTAGGGGCGGAAGCGTGAGCGGGCTAGGGGGGAATCTAACCTACTCTGATACCATATCAGAAAGAGAATGATTTTTAACTAGAATGTGTGTGTACAAGGATATATAGACTAGGGTGTTGTACCCTCTAAGGCACAATCCAGTATAGTCTACAGTAACGACCTAAGTTACATTTGACAAAATGACCTTCAACAGATTTTTCAGGATTGGCACCTAACAGGCATCCTGAAAATCAGGGATTTTGGATAAAACATCCTGAAATCTGAGGCCCTGGCTGGACTAGTAGTGCCGCCCTGGTCTTGCTCTTGCCTTGTCTGTACTCCTTTTGACTGGTCTTTAGATCTCTGTCTCAGAGGCTGGACTAGTAGTATCGCCCTGAGCTGTTTCGTCCCTTGTTAGGCACTGCCCCTATATAGTCTAGGGGGTGTGTCAAACATAACTTATGTTGTTACTGTAGACTATACAAGTTTGTGCCTTAGAGGGTACAACACACTAGTCTATATTGCCCTTATCTTCCTATTCTAGTCATTCTCTCTTTCTAACAGATTGTTGTCATACGAAATTGTACGCGCCAGCTGACATTTCAGACCAAAAAATACACCAAGTCTGAATTTTCAGACGAAATCTTATGACTTAGACGGACAATCAGACAAAATAATTCACCCCGTCAAAAAATATGATGAAAGCAAAAAAACAGGTCTGATTTTCAGACCATCAGACAGATTTCGTCTGATATCTGAGACCCTGATCATGAACCAATCACAACGCTTCCGCTACCAACGCTCACTTGGTGTTCAATTCTGAAGATCCTATCAGGCGCTTATCATCGCATAAGTCCACATCCTCCCAAGCTTCCCATGGAATCTCTTACCGGCGGGTCCTTCTTTATGGGAATTACGGCCTCATTGGTTTAGACTTGTTTTTCAAGGTTTTCTAGCACTAGTTACCGGTATTTACAGTCCGTATCTGCACATTCACGGTGGGGCTTTAACTATATTTGTAGCAGCACTCGTTTGTTTCTGGTGGGACAGCTGACAGCCAGCGACAACCGACAGTTAGACACTCAATAGCCGACAGCGAGCCACGGGGGCTGCATTCTTGAAGGGCTGCTCGCATGCTCGCCGCGTGGCGCCCTCCAACGAAAGAGGCTGTCGGCGTTCCGCGTGGCGCCTCCCTTCAGCGAGCCCCGTCTCCGCGTCTGCAGCGACGGCCACTCCGCCTGTGGCGGGAGCGACTCTCGCCACCATGGCGCCATGTCACCCGTCTCTCGTCCTCGCCTCACCCGCCTGCCCGCCTCCCCCCGGCGTCATTGCCGTGCCCTCAACGTCAACGTCAACGTCAACGCCAGCGTCACCGTGCGCCTCTCCTCCGTCCGTGCCCCGCTTCTCCGGTCCGCGTCTCCGCCTGCTCTGAAGCGGGATGGGAAAAGCGGCGCTTCTCGCGTTTTTTACTGTCGCTGATCCGCTCCTGCCTTCCGTTCTCCCCTCGCCTTCCACTCGTTCCTCGCTTTCCCACTTATTTCTTCTTCGCAGCTCCGCTAGAAAGCTCCTCGTTTCCCGCACAGCGCGCCGGCAACAGCCTCAACAGCCGCTGCCCGTCCGCCATCGCCGTGCCGGCCCTCGTCGCTGTTCGCGCCGCAACTAGCGCGCGCGACTTGTCGCCGACACCCGCTTGCGCCGCTTGCGGCTTTCCCAGCTAACTAGATAGTTGCGCCGCGCTCTGCCGGCTCGCGATCTGCCCGCCCGCTTGCGGCTTTTCTAGCGCAATTGTTATTTGCGCCGGCGCGGATCCCAAACCTATCGCGCCGTCGCATCGCGGGCGGGCGGGCGAGATGGCCGCGCGGGGCTCGGGGAAGGCGGGGGGGGAAGGGGGGAAGGAGCGCGGGAGGGGCGCGGAGGAGGGGGAGGGCGGCGAGGGGGAGTGGTGGAAGGAGCCGCTGTGGCAGGGCGCTATGATCGCGGGCGGCGCCGTCGTGGCGGCGGGGCTGGGCGTGAAGTACCTGATGGGGCGGGGGGAGGAGGGGAAGGCGGCGCACACGGGGAAGGGCAAGGTGAGGGGGCGATGTAAGGAGGCGTGTGGGATGGATGCGGGCGTGAAGGGGATAAACATGGGGCGCACGGGGAACATTCACAGCGCGGCGGTAAGCGCAGCATGTTGAGAGACGCACCCAGTAGAGTGGCACGTTGCTGTGTGCTGCAGGTCCCCTTCGTCCCGCGCTCTCTCTCCCGCACCTCACCTGTCCCGCGCTCTCTCTCCCGCACCTCACCTGTCCCTCGTCCAAGGTAGGCCATGATGGGGCCACTGCGCTATCAGTGTGCGGCCGGGCCACTGCACTGTCAGTGTGCCGCCTGCTAACGCATCTTGTGCGTGCGTGTGGGTGTTGCCTGGTGTGTGCATGTGGGAGCATTTGGGTATGTGTGGGGCATGAATTTGCATGTGTGCATGCATATGGAAGCTTCCGCGTATGTGCATGTGTGCCTGTGTGCATGTGCGCATGTGTGTATGTGTGCACGTGTGCATGTGTCTGCCCCACCCCTGCAGGCGCATGTGCGGCGGCACGTGCAGGCGTTGGTGGTGGATCCGGACATGACGGTCAGAGTGCACAAGGGCGACACGCTCTGGGGCTTGGCGCACAAATACCAGGTACTCACACTCTGTGTGCCGGCATGTGGGTGGGTGTATAAGGCTATGGGTGCATGTGGGTGTATATGGCTATGGGTGCATGTGGGGGTGTATATGGCTATGGGTGCATGTACCCGTATATGGCTATGGGTGCATGTACCCGTATATGGCTATGGGTGCATGTACCCGTATACGGCTGTGGGTGCATGTACCCGTATCTGGCTGTGGGTGCATGTACCCGTATCTGGCTGTGGGTGCATGAGGCTGCGTGTCGCAGCCCAAGGTGTGCACATGGGGTGGTGGTGAGTGACGGCATGGCGGTGGAGGTGCACGGGGGGGACACGCTGCTGTGCTCTTCAACCAACTCATACCCCTTGTCCTTTGCAGGTGCAACTAGTTACCAGCGCTGTCCCTTGCCCGTCCTTCACTGCCAGGATTGCCTTCTGTCAGCCTCGGCTCTGTCCCTTGCCCTCTGGACGCTCCGCCACGGAATTGGCATTGCTTCTGCCCTTTCAAGCCATGCAACCCTCGCCCCTCCTCCCGACCCCCTTGCCCTTATGTTGCTATCCCACGCCCACGTGCATGCATCCCCACATGCCCCTGGACGCCATGCATGCGCTGTGCCAACCCGGGCCCGTAGGTCGACCAGGTGCCGGGAGGTTGCCCCTGCCGCTCACAAAGCGCCCGTACACCCCCGTTTGTTCATCCCCCTGTGCTTATCTCAGGTGCCCGTGGACGCGCTGCGCTGCACTGCGCCAACCCCGGCGTGGTGCTGCAGGGCGATCAGGTGGCGGGTGTCTTGTCGCGCCTTGCCACCTGTTCTCGTAACCCCCTGACCGCGCCCGTTCTCATGACCCCCCTGCACTGTCGTTCACAGGTGCCCATGGACGCGCTGCGCAGCGCCAACCCCGATGTGGTGGTGGCGGGCGACCAGGTGGTGGCGGGGTCGCGGCTGTTCATCCCCAACGTCATCAGCGACGAGGAGTTTGACATGCGCTCCGATGGGGACTAGCTGGGTGGTGAATTCGCACTGGCAGGGGGTTGGTGGGGTGCGGGTGGGGGACTAGTGGGGGGTGCATGACGATAGAGGCGTGTCAGAGCTTCAGCGACCGGGATGTGATGAGTGATGGAGAGGTGATGTGCCTGTGCAGAGGGAGAAGTCCACCTGGCTACCACCAATACAAGGGGCTGGAGTGGAGCCGCAGCGCTGCATGAACACGACCCCGTGTGCCACTGCACCTCTCCCCGCAGCAATGCTGCCTCTGTCGAGAAGAAAACTGAACAAGTGTTGAATAGAGAGAGAGAACAAGGGTATATACCGTATTCCCCCGTATAAAGCACCCTAGGGTGGTAACCAAAATGCCTCTAAATTTTGAGGAGGGTGTAATTAGAGGCTAATTTTGTATAACGCCTGGGTGTTGTGGAACATGCGTATGTGATATTGTTTTTCCTAAACAAAGTGCACTGTCGTACGCTGCTGTACTTTGTTTTCCCCCTCGACATCGCGTACGGAGGCATGGCACGATTTTCTTGGCGGGAAGGCGAGCGCGACCCAAAAGTCAATTAGCGAACATTTAGTTTTGAGGATTCAAGGGTGTTGGGCTGAGAAAAGCCCTTAGGATCTTTTGCAGAGACTAAGTCCCAGCTTGTAGAGACTTGAGACTTGGAGTAGTGCAGCGGAAGTTGAGACAGTTGAACCCTTGTACTAGTATGTGAGAACAAGTGATTGATTAAAGAAACAAGCATACAGCAATATATAGTAGATAAGAAAACAGTTGTAGAATACAGTTACAGGAACGGTTTATCGAGTCGCACAGCGACTCGATTGCCGCTTCGGTTACCATCCGTGATGCTGTAACGGTCAGTCGCAACCTCCAGTTGCGACCTTTCGAGTCCTTTCGCATTCTTTGTCCGCCCCCTCGTGTAACCTCCGTTGACTCGCGTGCTCCCCTGTAATCTTCCTCGAGTACAGTGTTACACTTCAGAAACGCTTAAGTCCTTGAGATATTTCCAACACTCCCCTTCGTTTCTGGAGTGCTGGAGTGTTCAAATCCGGTGGCGTTTGTTTGCCCGGTTAGGAGCATGCAGTAGTCGAATTTTGCTTTCGCCAATTTCTTCGTCAGATAATCTGCGGCCATTTCTGTCGTCGGGCAGTAACTGAGTTGAAGTCTCCCCTTCGCGATTTCATCATTGACGAAGAAGTACCGCAGGGCGATGTGCTTGGTTCGATTGGCGAAGCCGTCCTTGTTCGCGATTTTGATCGCAGATTGGTTGTCGCAGAGGAGTGAGAAGGCGGGCAGGGTCGCGATCTTCGCTTCTTCGAGTAACTCTCGTAGGTAGAGTCCTTCCTTGGTCGCAGTACAAAGGGCGATATACTCTGCTTCAGCCGAGGATAGTGCGATTAACTCCTGCTTGCTCGACTGCCAGGAGATAGTTCCGATAGGTTCTAGTCGGTAGATGTAGCCCGTCCTAGACCGTCGATTTTCGCTGTCTCCCGCGTGGTCGGCGTCGACGTATCCGAGTAGTCGTACGGACGGTGTTGTTGCCTTGCTGTAGGTAAGCCCGATCGTCGGCGTGGAGACGAAGTAGAGTAGCGCTCGATTGAGTTCTTCGAGATCTTCCTGTTGCGGATGCTTCAGATGTGTCGCCAGCTGACTCGCACTATAGGATAGGTCGGGTCGGCAGGTTACTGCTGCGAATAGTAGGCAGCCGAGCTTCTGTTGATACTCCTGGATTTGTTTCGCGGGGAGTTTTGTAGAGGCGCTGCCGTTGTTCCCGTAGCGGTAGGGAGTTGGGACCGCAGTCGGTGTTAGAGCGAATTTCTTCGCGACGGTGCTTGAGTACTTTCCAGCGTGTAGGTAGAACGCCGTGTCGTCTTCGACGACGTTCAGTCCTAGGTACTGCGTAACTTCGTCGGACACCGTGAGAGTTAAATCTTCTTTCAGCTCCCCTTCGAACCAGGTGGCGATGTCGGTAGTTGAGCCGATGTAGAGCAGGTCGTCGACGTAGACGATGAGCAGAACATACTCTCTTCCCTTCTGCAGTCGGTACATCCCTTGGTCATGCGGCAGCTGTAGGAAGCCGATTTTTACGAGACGGCTGTGAAGATGCTGCTGCCAGAGCCGCGGGGCTTGCTTGATCCCGTATAGGGATTTTGTCAGTCGGCATATTTTCGTGGGGTCGTCGATGAATCCGTGGGGTTGTTCGACGAAGATCTCAGCGTCCACAGGTGCGTATAGGAACGCATTCGCGACATCGATTTGGCGTAGTGGTAGTGTTTTTGTGGCCGCGACGGCGAGTAGGATGCGTAATGAGGTGTGACGGGAGACTGGGGCGAAGGTTTCTGTGTAGTCGGTTCCGTATCGTTGATCGAAGCCTCGTACGACCCATCGAGCTTTGAATCGTTCGATGGAGCCGTCTGAGTTGGTCTTGATGCGGTACACCCATTTCCCCGAGAGAACGTTCTTCCCGTTGATGCTCGTTGCAGGTACCAGTTTCCATGTTTCTCGGTCTTGCAGAGCTTTTAACTCCTTTTCCATCGCTTCTTTCCATTTTGCCTTATGTTCCCCCCCCAGAGCCTGCGACAAGGTTGAAGGCTCACGCGTAGAAGGCGGCGGCGGATGCTGGACGGAGACCCAGAGGCCTAGAATCTGGAGTCCCGTGGGTGTGTGTCGAGGGGAATTGTCATTCCCCGAATAAGCTGCTTCGTCACCGTCTTCGGGGTCAGGTAAGAAATTGGGGCCGATGCGTTCCGAAATATTCGTGTCGACGGGGTGCGGTGTAGCGTAACCTTGGTCGGCGAAGTGGTAAAAGGTGTCGAGGTTGTTGCTATCGAGGGGATTATCTTCATCGAGTGGAACAGGTATGGAACAGAATGGGAGTGGCCCGGCAGCTTCCGAGGCTCCAGGTACGTCTTCTTCTGCTGCGTCAGCCTCGGCAGCATGGTCAGCGAAGGAGCGAAGGCCCGCGAAGCCGTCGGTGGGGTCGTCTGAGTTGGCAATGTTGTCCAGGTAATGCTGCAGCGTCAGTCGCTCGTAGAAGATAACATCACGTGATGCCACCGTATTTTTGTCTTGTATGTCGAGGATCTTCCACGCGTGAAAATGTTTGGCGATGCCGAGGTGTAGTCCCCACCGAGCTCGTTGAGTGAAGCGTCCTGCTCGAGCTGTGTGGGGTCTGTATTGTACCATGCAGCCGAAAACTCGAAGTAATTTTGTGCTGCCCCTTTTTCCCGTCCACAGCAGGTGTGGTGATGCGTTGTTGGGGAGCGATGACGAGGACAACAGGTTGTGCAGGTGGACTGCATGTGTCATCGCGTCTGGCCACAGTGCGTTGGGCAGCCTCATCCCCAGAAGCAGTTTTCGCATCGTCGTCTGCAAGGTCCGGTTCATGCGTTCTGCTACCCCCTGCTGCTGGTGAGCATAGGGCAGAGACACCAGGCGTCGGATTCCCCTTTCCGCGAGATAGGTCCTGAAGCGTTGTGACTGGTATTCCAGTGCACCGTCTGACTGGAAACTCTTGAGTTTGGTTCCTGACTCTCGTTCGGCGATTGGAAGCCATGTGGTGAATGCCTCGAAGGCTTGATCGCGCGTTTTGAGATTGAAGTGCCAGACGTATCTGGTTGCGGCGTCGATGAACGTGATGACGTAGTTGAAGTCGGCTTCGGTGTCGTCTCGAGGCATGTTTAGAATATCGCTGTAGACCTTTTCCATCGGAGCGTAAGTGGGTGCGCTTGGATTGTGATGGGCTGGGAAAGGTTGATGAGGAAGATCTGCTTCGGGGCATGTGAAACACCGTGCGCGTGGTCGTCGGAGTTCCTGGCCGCTCGTCGTCAGAAGGGCGTTGCGTTCTAACACTTCTGCTTGGATTGTTTGAAGTATCGTGCTGTTTGCAGGATGTCCGAGACGTTGGTGCCAGATGTCGTCGGGAGCGCGGTGACCGGGCGAGCGGTGGTAGATGTCGGCGTTGGAGAAGAACGCGACGACCGAGGCGGGACTTCGACAAGCTTCTCGTGTGGCGGGCATAAGTTGGTCTGCTTCGGTTGGCTGTCCTCGTGTCGCTGGTGGTGGTACTCGGCTGGGTCCTGCTGCCGATACTGCAGGTGATGGTTTTGTTGGGACACATGCGGGTACTTGTCTTTCTTGTCTGATAACTGCTAATGCTCGTGTTCTTTCTGCTGCAGGTATGGTGTTGGAGTGCCAGAAGCCGTCGCTGTCGAAGTCGGGATCAAGATCTGGCGGATGAGTCCAGGCGGCGAAGGATACGATACCGTCGCTGTCGGCAGTTCCGCGGTCGGGGACGAAGTCCAACACGAAGACACCGGACTTCAGGAGGGCACGACCGATGAAGAGACCGCCCTTCCCGTGGTAAAGTCGGAACTCGTTGGAGAAGGAGTCGCACTCCAGGTGAATCCCCTTAGCCATTAGTTGGCTTACGCTTAATAGGTTGTATCCCAGATTGTCGACGATGAGGACCTTGTTGAGCTGAAGAATAACGTTTGTCTCCATTGATTGTAACTGAACCACGCCTTGTCTATTTGTTTTCAGGTTTTCGTTGTTGGCGACGGTGATGACGACGTCACGGTTGAGGCGTCGCTCGTGTTGTACGAAGCGTCCGGAGGAGCACATGTGCTGACCGCAGCAACTGTCCAAGAACCAGGTGTTCCGCCCGGTGGGTTCGGCGTTAGCGACTGCAGCGTATGTCGGGTTGACCTGAAGTCCTTGCGAGCGCGGCGGCGGGAATTCCTCTTCGTCTGGTGCGTAAGTGGGTGGTGAAGCGGGTGCGCAGTTGTCGATGTGTACCATGCAGTTGATGATGTTGGGTGTTTGTTGTGCAGATGTTGAAGAGCGCCTTGGAGGACTTGCTTGAGTGGAAGCGACTTGTGGGTCTGCTGCACGGTAAACGCGAGGGCGGTTGCAGTTGACCTTGGAGTGCCCGGAAGTCTGACAGTTGTGGCAGAACGGCGGCACGATGGTGAGTCCTCGGTTGTCACGTTGATCTTGCTTGCTGCGTCGGTTGTAGTTGTTGTCATTTCTTCTTTGAGTGTAGAAGACTAACTGCTGTTGCTTCCTTGGTTGTCTTTCCTCGAACAGATCCATCTCCTGTTGTTCAGCGTGAAGCTCGGCGCAGAGGTGCATCTCCGAAATTCTTCCGTGGGCTCGAAGAAGTGATCGTGTGGTTCTCCATTCTGGCCCGAGCCCGGCGAGGACAAGTGTCACGAAGCTTTCTTCAGTGATCGTTCCTCCGCACCGAAGCAGGCGGTCGCGGAGGGTCTGGCAGCGACTCATATACTGCATCGCCTTTTCCCCGGTCTTCATCTGTATTGTTGTCAGCTGTTGCATGAGTCTGCTTTGTGTCACGCTGTCGTTTGCTTGGTAAAGGCATTTGAGGTGGTGCCATGCGAGCTCCGCGGAGTTTCCATAACTCCGATACGTTCTGATGCTCTGCTGCTCTTGTGGTGACAGGTTTCTCAG